TTAACATCAATTAAGTACCGAATATCGGGAGGTACTGTTATATGGGGCCTATACGAAGACGTGGACCTGCAGAGACAATTTTCTGTTTTAGGCTGTAGTATCCATTACGAACTTCAAATGCCGGATTTGAAACAATTCCGGTGAATAGTGTCGCTAAAATCATCAAACTACCGAATATCGGGAGGTACTGTTATATGGGGAGTATACGAAGACGTGGACCTGCAGAGACAATTTTCTGTCTTATCCAGTAGTATCCATTACGAACTTCAAATGCCGAATTTGAAACAATTCCGGTGATAAGTGTCGCTAAAATCATCAAAATACCGAATATCGGGAGGTACTGTTATATGGAGACTATACGAAGACGTGGACCTGCACAAACAATTTTCTGTCTTAGGCTGTATTATTCATTTCGAACTTCAAATGCCGAATTTGAAACAATTCCGGTGATTAGTGTCGCTAAAATCAACAAAGTACCGAACATCGGGAGGTACTGTTATATGGGGAGTATACGAAGACGTGGACCTACACAGACAATTTTCTGTCTTAGGCTGTATTATTCATTACGAACTTCAAATACCAAATTTGAAACAATTCCAGTGAATAGTGTCGCTAAAATCAACAAAGTACCGAACATCGGGAGGTACTGTTATATGGGGAGTATACGAAGACGTGTACCTACACAGACAATTTTCTGTCTTAGGCTGTATTATTCATTTCGAACTTCAAATGCTGAATTTGAAACAATTCCGGTGATTAGTGTCGCTAAAATCAACAAAGTACCGAACATCGGGAGGTACTGTTATATGGGGAGTATACGAAGACGTGTACCTACACAGACAATTTTCTGTCTTAGGCTGTATTATTCATTTTGAACTTAAAATACCAAATTTGAAACAATTCCGGTGATTAGTGTCGCTAAAATTATCAAACTACCGAATATCGGGAGGTACTGTTTTATGGAGAATATACGAAGACGTGGACCTACTGAGACAATTTTCTGTTTTAGGCTGTAGTATCCATTACGAACTTCAAATACCAAATTTGAAAATTAGTGTCGCTAAAATCATCAAACTACCGAATATCGGGAGGTACTGTTATATGGGGCCCATACCAAAACGTGGACCTACATGGTCCATTTTAAATACCATAAGTCCTGCAGATATAATACATATGTGAGTAAAATTTTATAAATCTACTTCATTTCGTTCGGAAGCTAGAGTGGTTTCCACAGATGGATAGACGGACAGACATAGCACTTTATGCAGATCAAGAATATATATACTTTGTGGGGTCTGAAATGTATATTTCGAGGTATTACAAACGGAATGACAAATCTAATATACCCTCCATATTTTGGTGAAGGGTATAAAAACATAACATCCTATCTTATTCATATGAATTCTCAGTTTGGGGTAGTTCTCCTGATTGTTCTGATAGTTCTCCATAAAACTAACTGTTTTCTGAAAACTAACCTTTTTAAAAATAATTTAACAAAAACTTGAATCCTTTTTGCAACAAATACAGTTTTCTCGACGAGCTGAAGATTTTAATCAGAAGTTGTGGATACCTGCTGTTAGCAGAGCATATGTTGTGTGGCATGGCACGCTTAACAAAGGACTTCCAACGTAGCATACGAAAAATCCAAAAATTATCCTTACCTTAGCGCCTTAAAAAACTCAGATACATAGCTTGTCAGTGTTGCTTCGTCTCCCTCTGCTTTTTGTTATTTTAGCTGTTGCACAATATCCTGCAACGCCCTTTAACCAAACTGGATGCATTATTCCCGGACAAAAAGCAGCAAAAAAGAAAAGAAAAACAATGAAAAGAATCACAATGTGTCAAAATCAGCAGGATAGTACAAGGCAGGAGAGATCAGGATCAGGATCAGGATGCATAATAACTACATGTGTTGCAACATCAACATCTGTAGCATAATTTTTTCCTTCTATCTTCTTCTTGTTTTGCAACAAGACAGAGAAAGACAACGACAAAAGGATCAGCAGAAAGCCAACGAGGACAAGAGCTCACAGCGTTCAAACATATTTAGCATATTGGAAATGCAGGGCAAGGAGGACACACTGTGTGTGCAACATGTCCAATAACAATCCATAACGAAATGGATTATAACAAGGAGCCACCTTTTGAGGACAAATGCAACCACACACACACACACGTACACACGGTATTATTATTCTGTTTTTGTTGTTTTTGCCCAACGACCATATTAAAATGTAATATTTTGGTAACATATGGCCGCCAGAGTGTAAATAATGTTTTAATAAATTCCAGGCCCAGAAAATTGAGCTAAACTAATGAACTGCCGAGTTCATGGTTAATCAGGATGCCTGGAGGGCAACTAATCCTTAGTAACAACGGATTAGTTACGTTAGATTGAGAATAAAGCACAGAGGAGATAATTACAATTCTCTAAAAAAAAATTCTATAGATCTGCGATAGTTGGAAGTCCTTTAACAGCTCTTCTAAAGATAGCAGAGGATTTTGTGGAAGTCTGGCCCAGAGTTTTCATGGAAATATATATGGTCTTCAAGGTAGAAAACCTCTAGGAGCGGGGATACGTATCCAAGATTTTTAAGTCTTGCTAACTTTTACCTTCGACAAAAACTCGTTTATCGATTCTGCATACACTCAAAACTCGGGTTTTTTATGGCCAACAGAAAGCGCCCCCTAAAAATAATTGAAAATCAAGGATAAAACAACATAAATTGTTGCATATTTTCTCATTTGAAAATTAACAAGTTAAAAAGCAGTCAGTTCGGATGGGCCGAATTAGAACGAATTTGGAAATTTTCAAAAATATAAAAACCGTTAAAAATTCTGTTAAAATCTTAAAAATACCGAACATGGCCGTTATATTGGGGTTTATACGACGTGAACCTATATTGTTGTCATAAGCCATTGCCATTTTCAAGTTCGAAACTTGAATAAACGGTAAATAATGTAGCTAAAAATCATCAAAACACCGTACATTGGGAGATATCGTTACATCGGAGCTATACGTAGACCTAGACTTGCATAGACAATTTTCTGTCACAGGTTGTAGCATCCATTACGAACTTCAAACACGACATCTTCAACAATTTCGGTGAGTATTGTACCTAAAATAGTCAAAATACCGAATATAGGGAGGCAGTTATATGTGGGGCCTATCCAAAGTCCTGGACCTGCATAGACAACTTTCTGTCATAGGCTGGAGTATCCATTACGAACTTCAAAATACCAAATTTTGAAACAATTCTGGTGAATAATGCGCTAAAATCATCACAATACCGAATATCTGGGGTTCCATTAGGTCAGATCAGACAATTTTCTGTCATAGGCTGTAGTATTCATTACGAACTTCAAGTACTAATTTTGAAATAGTTCCGGTAAATAATGTCTCAAAAATCATCAAAATACCGAATATCGGGAGGTACAATTGTATGAATAAAAGCAAAAAAAGTCGGAAATAGCATCTGACCTTCAAACGGCCAATGAAACCATCACACACTGCCCGAATGTTGTTGTGCGGTACTATGGCCCGTTCTCGGCGAAGCGCTTGCTCGAGCATTTGGTATTTTTTAGTGCCAACCTTGCTTTCCAAAGTACTCCTGACACAATAGTCCAACGGATTGTTATCCGGAGATTTTGGATTGTTATCCGGAGCGCTGGAAATGAAGCGAGGAACCTCATTTTGTAACCATTCTTGGGTGACGCGTGCTGAGCGCAATGGTGCTGAGTCCTGTGGGAATGTCTAAGGTCTGCGGCCAAAATGTTTGCGTGCTCAAAGTTTAAATACAACTTCCAGAATATTTTCGCGATAATATTCGGCATTTATTCTGATGCAACGGTCGATTAATACGAGCGGATAGCAAACACGTCTGCAGCCAAAATGTTTGCGTGCCCAAGGCTTTAATACATCCACCAGAATATTTTCGCGATAATATGCGGCATTTATTCTGATGCCATGGTCGATTAATACAAGCGTAGAGCTACCATTGGCTATTATGGCGGCCCACACCATCACCATGGCTGTCGCTTGAGTTCTGGTGGCCAACCACCAACCAAAGGCGGACATTTTCAGCTGACCTCTTTGGCAAGTAAACACGATCATTTTGTTTGTTTACAAACTGCTGGACAACGAATGCTTTCCCATCGGAGAAAACCAAATTCGACAGTTCACCACTTTCGGCCAAGCGAAGCAACTTGACGTCATGATAACGGGCGATGGTACGAGACCCAAAGGATTTATTCACATTTAAATGATGGAGTGCTCTAACGATAGCCCCTTGTGGTTTTCCAGCCGAATATAAAGAAATCACACAATCACGTTTGAATTCCATCACGATTAACTTTTTTTTCTGGAAAATTCTCACCGTAATGTTTCCTAGGCCTTTAAACAATATAATAAGCTGTCACGGGAATAATTTTAACAGCAGTTGGACGAGTGCCTCAGAAATGACAGTAGTCTGAAGTTGGTTGCATTTTTTTCATCTCACCCCGTAATTACTCATATTCAGAGCAACTGCAATCTGTTGATATATACTTCTCAACATTTAATATTTAAATTTTAGAATTTAATAATGAACTTTCGATTACTTCAAGAATCATTGGTTTAAAAAATGGTCAAATATATGCTATTGTCCTTATATGAGGGTAGATCCTGTTGAACCTTTGGTCTATGGTAGCATATTGAAAATATTTCACTTCTAACCTTAAATCGTTGAAGATCGTTTTAGGTCAATCCCTTTGGAACTTAAATTACGTCCGATTTCATATGGCTTATCCCCTCAAATAGCATAATGCAATCTGCACCACTTGAGTACACGTGCTCTTAATCGGTCAAAAACTGGGCGTAGCCTATATCTCACCATAAAGGCGACTGATATTGTTTTCTTAAAAACATTTATTTTATCAATCTAGAAGTGGCAGATTGTTAAGAAAGAGAAGGGGTATTGTTCTTGGATTTTAAATAAACAAATTCAGTTTTGACTGCCAATTCGAAGTGCTAAGCAACATTTAGTTTAATAACAAATGAAAATAAAATTAACATAAAATAAAATAAAAAAAAGTTTGTGGCCAAAATGTTTGTCGAACTGCTCTTGGGTATTTTGGTCGTGGCTATAATCGCAGATACCCTCAGTAAACGGCGACGCAATCTAATGTTAGAGAAGGCTGGCATTCGTGGACCAAAACCTGTGCCCATTTTGGGAAATCTCTTACAGCTACTGGACAACAACAAATCCAGTAAGGCAGCAATAAAACCATTCAAATAATTTCACCATCTATGATTTTTGACCTTTAGGTATCTTCAATGTCATGGACAACTTTACATCCAAATATGGTAGCATAGTACGCCTATGGATGGCCAACCACTGCATTCTGATTGTTCGTGATGTGAAAGTTTTTGAAGATGTCTTCAAAAGTTCTCGCCTTATTACCAAAAATAGTCACTATGGCTTATTGGAGGTTTGGTTGGGTGACGGACTGTTGATGAGTAGTGGATCCAAATGGTTTTCGAGGCGCAAGATTATCACGCCAACATTTCATTTTAAAATCTTGGAAGAATTTGTAGAGATCTTCGATCAGCAGAGTACGGTCTTGATCAAGCGTCTAATGGAGAAAGCCGATGGCAAGACTGTTGTCCGCATGTTTCCCTATGTTTGCCTCATGGCCTTGGATATCATAACGGAGACGGCCATGGGGGTGAAGGTCCATGCCCAAGAAAATCCAGAATTTCCCTATTCCAAAGCATTAACTGAGTAAGTTTTTGGTTTTGTGTGTGGGGGTGGGGTCTTTGATAATTTTGACTTTTGGATCTGATCTTACATTACCTCTGTTTGCGATTATCTCACTCTACTGATAATCTTTGGCACAAGTACAGATACGATCCGGCCAAATATTTAATATTATTCAATAAAGATTAGGACTTTAACTTTAATCGTCATATCAAAATACGTTTTGTTTGGCATATATTTAGAAAAATACATTTTGTAGAGCACTCAAAATTAGGAATACCCATAGGCGATATTCTAGGTACAGGCGCCCTCATCTAAATATTCCACAAATTCAACAAAGATTTTCTATGGCTAGGAATTTTTACAACCTTTTGTATCCATTGAAGACCTTTTGAAAATTAAGTTATTCAAATGAATTTAAGAAGGCACAAGAGAATTGTAGAGGCCTTCTATAGAAACAGAATGCCCTTATAGGTCTCATGTAGTGATAATTTGTAGACTTGCAGACCTTCTAGGGTATTCATTTTCCTAAGAATATCTTTACACCCTTTTCAAATGAAGCAAATAACAAGTTAAAAATCAGTAAGTGAGGTCGGGCCGAACTTTGAATACCCTCCACCATTTGGAACAATTTTGGAAATTTTCAAAAAATAAAATCCTTAAAAAATTCTCTTAAAATTTTAAAAATACCGAACATAGCCGTTATATTGGGGTCTATACGACGTGCACCTACATAGGCATTGTTTGGCACAAGCCCTTGCCATATTCAAATTCGAAACTTGAAATAAACGGTTAAGCTAAAATCATCAAAATATGGTATATAGGGAGGTACCGTTATATCGGAGCTATACGAAGACCAGGTCCTGCATAGACAATTTTCTGTCATTGGTTGTAGCGTCCATTACCAACTTCAACTACGACATATCAAACAATTTCGGTGAGTATTATACCTAAAATCGCCCAAAATACCGAATATAGGGAGGTACTGATATATGGGGGTTATGCGAAGGCCTGGACCTGTATAGACAATTTTCTGTCACAGGCTGTAGTATTCATTAAGATCTTCAAATACCAAATTTGAAACAATTCCGGTAAATAATGTCGCTAAAGTCATCAAAATACCGAATATTGGGAGGTACAGCTATATGGGGGCTATACGAAGACGTGGATCTGCATAGACAATTTTATTCATTCGTATTCATTACGAACTTCAAATGCCATATTTGAAACAATTCCGATGAATAATGCCGCTAAAATCATCAAAATACCAAATATAGGGAGGAACCGTTATATGGGGGATATACGAAGACGTGGGCCTACACAGACAATTTTCTGTACCAGGCTGTAGTATTCATTATGAACTTTAAATGCGATATCCGGTAAATAATGTCGCTAAAATCATCAAAATACCGAATATCGGGAGCTACCGTCATATGGGGTTTATACGAAGATGTGGACGAATCATGGCCTTCAAACGGCAAATGAAATCGTCACACGCTGCCCAAATGTTGCTCTGCGATATTTTGGCCCATTCCCGGCGAAGCGCTTGTTTGAGGTGATCGGCAATTTGGTATTTTTTAGTGACAACATTGCTTTCCAAAATACTCCTGACACAATAGTCCAACGGATTGTTATCCGAAGATTTTGGTGGCCATTGTGCGCTGGAAATGAAGCGAGGAATATCATTTTGTAACCATTCATTGGTGGCGCGTGCTGATGGCGATGGTGCTGAGTCCTATTGGAATGTCCAAGGTCTGCGTCACCACCAATATTCGGCATTTATTCTGATCGATTCATACGAGTGGAGGGCGACCATCGGCTGTTATGGCGGCCCACACGATAACCATGGCTGGCGCTTGGCTTCTGGTGGCCAACCGAAGGTGCACATTTTCACCTAACCTCTTTAGCAAGTAAACGCGATATTTTTCTTTGTTTACAAACAGTCCAAATCGAAAGTTTTCTCATCGGAGACAGAGAAAACCAAATTCGGCAGTTCACCACTTTCGGCCAAGCCAAGCAACTCTTTAGCTCTTTTGAGTCTATTTTCTTTCTGTTGCGATGTAAGTTCTTGCACTTTTTGGAATTTCAATGTCTGTTTTTCAATATTTGCCGAACGGACTGTTGAAATATGTTCAGCTCACGAGCCATTTTTATGCCACTGCGACGCGAGTTTCGATCAAGTCGCTTCTTTACTGTTCGAACCATTTCTGCTGATGTTGCTGTTTTCTTCCGTCCACTTCCTTGATATCGGGCTACGCTACTAGCAACGATACGGTAACGAGCTATGATGCGAGACACAAAAGATTTATTCACATTTAAATGCTGGAGTACTCTAACGATAGCCACTTGTGGTTTTTCAGCCAAATATAAAGAAATCACACTATCACGCTTGAATTCCATTACGAATAACTTTTTTTTCTGGAAAATTCTCATCAAAATTCTTTTTGTACGCTTGTAAAAAATAATCAGAAATCAGAAAAATGCTTAAAGACATCAAATCTTTCATTCCGAGGTAGCCGAGGAGGACATTAGTAAATTTATTGCACAACGGACCCATATCCGATTTTTCTGTCCAAAACTATGTCAAATGCTCCATATATAAACCCTGGAAACCAACAGTGACCCTAATATCAAATATCAAAATTCTAGCTCTATACATTCACCCAATACTAAATTCAGTAATATTTAGTACTTTTCGTATCATTTCAGTACTGATTTGCAAAACCGTTCCATATCTCAATCCTAGATACCTAGTAATATTTCAGCTCCCTCCCTTCACCCAACACCACATTTAATACTTTTCGAACAATTATAGTAGACATTTACAAAACCACCACTAGATCTGAACTTCTGATACCAACAGTTACTTTAGTATCAAATGTCAGCTTTTCAGTCCTATCCCTTAATCCTATCCTACCAAATTTAGTACCATTTAGTTATAGTACACATTTCCAAAACGACCTTCTTATTTTAACCCCAGATACCAACAGAGACCTCAATATCAAATTTTGGGATTGCATCTCTATTCCAACACCGAACGGCACATTTTGTGGCATTTTACATTTTTCGTATGTTCATAGTAGACATTTTAATTCTCTAAATTACAGACACAAACAGTGACATCCATATCAAATTTTAGGATCTCAGCTCTAACACCTCAACCAATACCAAATCTAGTACTTTTTGTACAATTCTAAAAAATATTTCCAAAACCACCACCAGATCTCAACAACAGATACCGAAATCATCAAATTTCGAAATTTCACCTCCATCCCTTAAGCCAATACCCAATTTAGAACCATAAAGTACTTTTCGTACCATATTAGTACATATTTCCAAAAATCACATCCATATCTCAATATCTCGGAAACCAACAGAGACCTAAATATCAAATTTGATGATTCCAGCCAAATGCCACATTTAGTTCCATTTAGTAGACTATTTGTACAAATTTAGGACACCTTTCCAAACCAGCACTAAACCACCTCCATATGTCCATGCTACACATGAATACCAAATTTTGCGATCTAAAGCAGTATCTGTTTACCCCATTACCAAATTGTACCAAATATCGTACTATTTAGCACTTTTCGCGCACTTGTAGTACACATTTTTTAAAACCAACTCTTTATCACAAATCCAGCTTCATCCGGCTTCTGTTCCAAATTTAGTACCATTTAGTACAGTTCGCACTCAGAGTACACATTTCGAAAACCATCTTCATATATCTAACTTACCTTGATTTTTATACCAAATTTCAAGTTTTAAGCTCTATCCGTTCACATTGTACCAAATGGTACCATTTTAGATTTTTAGTACCATTTTAGATTTTTTTGTAACCTTAATGTACAAACTTCCAAAAACTCTTTTGTACATCTATCCTGTACTGCATCAGTTTTGTTCTTTCCAAATATCAGAATTATAGCTTATTCCGTTTGTCTAATGGAAAGTATTAAATATTTAGTACATTTCGTACCATTTTAGTACGAATTTCCAAACAATTCAAGATTCTAGCTTCAGCCGTTTCGCGATGCCTTGGGCGTTGATGCTCGGTCAGTCAATACTCTTTTCTTTCCTCAATACTCTTTTCCTATTTGTATTGTTTTTGTTTTCAGAACCTCCTCCATTATGTCGGATCGTTTGATCAAACCTTTTGATCGTTTCGATGGCTATTACCGCATCTTCCACAACCGAAAATATCACCATCTGCAAGAGTGCATTAAAATTATGCACAACTTTACGGATCAGATTATTGCAGAACGTCGTGAGGCTTTACAAAAATCCCTTAAAAAGAAAATGCTTCAGCCCGTAGGCAGTGCCGATGAAATGGGCATCAAGAAACGTATGGCTCTCCTCGATGTGCTGCTGCAATCCACAGTCGATGGCAAACCACTGAGCGATATGGATATTCGCGAAGAGGTGGATACTTTTATGTTTGGCGGCCACGACACTACGACGAGTAGTATTTCTTTTACTCTCCACCTCCTGTCTCGTCATCCAGAGATACAAGAGAAGGTGCTCGAGGAGATTTACAGCGTTATTGGAGAAGATAAAGAGAAACCGGTGACCATGAAGGATTTACATGAATTAAAATATTTGGAATGTGTCATAAAGGAAAGTTTGCGTTTGTATCCATCCGTGCCGATGATTGGACGTTTTATCGAAGAGGATATTGTATTGAGTAGGTTGCCCAAAACAAAAAAAAACCTAATGAATATATTTTTATATCCTCAGCCATATGGCTATAGGGGGTATACATCATATGATACAGCCAAAACGTAGCTCATCGAAATAACGGTTTTAGACCCCAGGCCCTATTGGCCCAAATGAGTTTCAAGATATTTGGAGTCGATCTAATGTGTCCTAATGTGTCGTGGTTGGTGCCCACGATAACTGTCGAAGGGAGTAGCCGATTTGATTCAAACTTGGTACATCGTAATGTTATTCTCAAAATTAGATCAAGTTCGTAGATGGGCAATATAGGCCCACTCCTTCCGGTACCTTTCCCACAAAAGTTCAAAACTTTCAAAGAAAATTAATTACCTCATAGAAAGAGAACGTATCATTCGATTTCGTGCAAACTTTGCAAATCTAAATATTTGTATCGGCGCTCAAGTAGCTCCCACACAAAGGGTCAAAATTTTGAATAAATATAACTCTTATAAATTGAGAAATAAGAGACCGATTGTCTTCAATTTTCACATATTCCGATATTTTTATTAAACCCAGATCTGGTGTAAAGTTGGTATACATCGATCCACTCCTTCTGGTACCTCCCACACAAAGGGTCAAAATTTTATATAAAAAAAACCAAATGCGTAATCAGCATCCGATTCCCTGCAAATTTCCCACATCCCAATGTTTCCATTAAAAGAAGATCTGGTGTGATGATGATAGACATCGGCCCCCCGCTTCCGGTACCTCTCCCACAAAGGGTAAACATTTTGAATAATCATAACTCTTACAGAATGTGAAATAAGAGCCCGATTGTCTTTAATTTTCACATCTTCAAATATTTTTACTAAACCCAGATCTGGTGTAAAGTTGGTATACATCGATCCACTCCTTCTGGTACCTCCCACACAAAGGGTCAAAATTTTTAATAAAAAAGCCAAATGCGACATCAGCATCCGATTCCCTGGAAATTTCTCACATCCCAATGTTTCCATTAAAAGAAGATCTGGTGTGAAGATGATAGACATCGGTCCACCGCTTCTAATACCTCCCCCACAAAGGGTCAAAATTTTGAATAATCATAACTCTTACAGAATGTGAAATAGGTATCCGATTGTCTTCAATTTTCACATATTCCAATACATATTTTTCTTAATACCAGATCTGGTGTATAGTTGGGATACATCGATCCACTCCTTCTGGTACCTCCCCCACCAAGAGGCAAATTGTTGAATAACCAAACCGTTCATGAATGCGTATTCCTTCAAATTTGATACATCCCAATGTTTCTATTAAGACAAGATAAGGTATATAGAAGATAGATATCGGCCCACCCCCTTCTAGTGCCTCACTCCCCAACCTTCAAAGGATCTCAATTTTCACTACTTATATCTACTTTTTCCAAAAATGATCACTTGTCTCATATAAAGTTAGAGAAATAGTCGATATAGTCCAAATCTGGCACGAAATGGCCAATATTGGTCCACTGCTTCGGAACCTACTCCATAGAGGCTTAAAAGTGTGAATAATCATGGGTCAAAATCAAAATATATTTGAAAAAAAACTAACAGTGGCAAAATCGACTGATACTTTGAAACTGTTTTTTTATACCCTCCACCATAGTATGGAAGGTATATTAAGTTTGTCATTACGTTTGTAACACGTCCTCCGTCCGTCGTTTGTGGAAATCACTCTAGCTTCCGAACGAAATGAGGTAAATTGATAAAATTGTACTCAAATGTGTATTATATCTGCACGACTTTTGGCATTGAAAATGGGCCATGTAGGTCAACGTTTTCGTATAGCCCCCATATAACGGTACCTCCCGATATACGGTATTTCGATGATTTTAGTGACATTAATTACCGGAATTGTTTCAAAATTGGTACTTAAAGTTCGTTATAGATACTACAGCATAAAACAGAAAGAAGGCCATGTAGGTCCACGTCTTCGTATAGCCCCCATATAACGGTACCTCCCGATATTCGGTATTTTAATGATTTTAGCGACATTATTCATCGGAATTGTTACAAAATTAGTATTTGAAGTTCGTAATGGATACGACAGCCTTAGACAGCAAATTGTCTGTGCAGGTCCACGTCTTCATATAGCCCCCATATAACGGTAACTCCCCATATTCGGTATTTTGATGATTTTAGCGTCATTATTCACCGGAATTGTTTCAAATTTGGTATTTGAAGTTCGAAATGGATACGACAGCCTATACCAGAAAATTGTCTGTGCAGGTCCGCGTTTTATAACCCCCATGGTACCTCCCTATATTCGGTATTTTGATGATTTTAGCTATATTATAAACAGATTTTTATTTTCAAGTTTCGCATTTGAATATTGTAATAGCTTGTGACAAAAGTTGCCTATTCCGGTCCACGTCGTCGTTTAGACCCTAATATACGGCTAACATTTTAACAGAATTTTTAACGGATTTTATTTATTTATTTATTTATTTTTTTTTTTTTTTTTTTTGAAAATTTGCCAAATTCGTACCAAATGGTGTAGGGTATTCAAAGTTCGGCCCGGCCGAACTTATTGCTTTTTAACTTGTTTTTATTTCCTACCGTTTTGTTTTAGATGGCATCACCATACCGGCCAACACCAACATTACCCTTCTTATGTATGCCGCCATGAAAGATCCCGAAAATTTCCCCAAACCCGAAGAATTTCTGCCCGAACGTTTTATGTGCACTGATGATGCGAATAAAATAAATCCCTTTGCCTATGTACCCTTCAGTGCTGGACCGCGTAACTGCATTGGGCAGAAATTTGCCATGGCTGAAATGAAGAGTACCATCAGTAAAATTTTACGTCACTTTGAGTTGCTACCCTTAGGTGAGGAGGTGAAACCTTTTGTGAAGTTGGTTTTGGGTTCTGAAACTGATGCGCAATTGGGTTTGAAGCCTCGGACCTAATTGTGAGATTAATCAACTAGAATGATAAACATAATTGATATTAAATATTTTGTAAGAAACAAATACATTGTTTTTCTACTGACCGATTAAAATTTCTCTCTCAGCAAAGACCGGTAAAGAGTGGGGCCTAAATCGCAAGCTCCTTAGCCAATGCACAGTAAAAAATTTCAAAAATCCATACCACTCAAACTCTAGTTCCCCCACTTACTGCCAGTGACTCATTAATATAAAATTTAATTTTTTTGCCCAACCTTTGGCAATAACCTTCCAAAAATCCTACCATAAATTCCTTCAACGAACTCTATTACCAACCTACCTAAGTAGTATTTAACTGTCAAATTATCTGTCATAAAAACGGTCACTCCCTCGCCGCATTTGATAACAATTAAGTTGTTGTCCTTAAACGAATTCCGAGGACATGCTCCTACACATATGTGTGTGGCCACCTTGATGGGCTCGTAAAAATTGAAAACGAATTTAACGACCATTTCCGTTGAAGCGGACCGTCATTGATGTTAATCTGATGGACTAACCAACCAAATAGACGTAATTTGTTGTTAGTTTTCGGGACTTTGTCATAGTATCCTAAGACTGCCTGTCTGTCCGTCCGCAAGTCTGGCTGTTTATTTAATGACTGACCTACCTGCCATACATTGGATCTAACTACCTGCCTGCCTTCGTTCTTAGCAAATCAATTTTCAATTGTCAATGGTCACCTAAAAGTCAATCCAAGATATTCGTCTATCGCCCATAAAATTAAGTCAAGGTTGGCGTCAGCAATGGAATTGGTATTGGATTTTAGTTTTATTTTTCGTAGGAAAAAGGGCTCATAAGGAAATGCGAGAGGATTAAATAAAATCTGAAATAAAATATTTTCATTCTGAATGGAAGGGACTGGGCAATTTGAAATGGTAATGACCACATTAAGGCCCAATCGAAAATACCAAGAGGACCACGGAAGACCACCAAGGATGTCAATAATATTGAATAACATCTGGATAATTTAGACCCCTTATGGCTAAAAGAGAATTAACTGCTCCTCTACGGCCAGAGCTACAGCAGCTCTTCTACGCCCAGAAGAGCTACAGCAACTCTTGTAGCTACATCAGCTATTCTATGGCTAGAAGAGCTACAGCAGCTCTTCTATGACTAGAATAGCTACATCAGCTCTTCTATGACTAGAATAGCTACATCAGCTCTTCTATGGCTAGAAGAGCTATAGCAGCTCTTCTATGGCTAGGAGAGCTACAGCAGCTCTTCTATGGCCAAAAGAGTTTCAGACGTTCTTCTATGGCTAGAAGAGTTTCAGACGCTCTTACATGGCTAGAAGAACTTTAACAGTTCTTCTATATCTAGAAGAGCTTCAACAACTCTTCTATGGCTATAAGAGTATCAGCTGCTCTTCTTTGACCAGAAGAGCTTCAACAGTTCTTTTATGGCTAGAAGGGCACGGCTCTTCTATGGCTAGAAGAGCTACAGCAGCTCTTCCATGGCTAGAAGAGCTACAGCAGCTCTTCTATGGCAGACGCTCTTCTATGGCCAAAAGAGTTTCAGACGTTCTTCTATGGCTAGAAGAGTTTCAGACGCTCTTACATGGCTAGAAGATCTTTAACAGTTCTTCTATAGCTAGAAGAGCTTCAACAACTCTTCTATGGCTATAAGAGTATCAGCTGCTCTTCTTTGACCAGAAGAGCTTCAACAGTTCTTTTATGGCTAGAAGGGCATTAACGGCTCTTCCATGGCTAGAAGAGCTACAGCAGCTCTTCCATGTCTAGAAGAGCTACAACAGCTCTTCTATTGTTAGAAGAGCTCCAACAGCTCTTCTATGGCTAGAAGAGCTCCAGACGCTCTTCTATGGCTAGAAGAGCTTCAACAACTCTTCTATGGCTATAAAAGCATCAGCTACAACAGCTCTTCCATGGCTAGAAAAGCTTCAGACGCTCTTCCGTATCTAGAAGAGCTACAGAAGTTCTTCTTTGGTTAGAAAAGCTATAACAGCTTCTCTATGGCCGGAATATCTTCAACAGCTTTTCCATCGATAGAAGACTTCTAGCAGCTCTTCTACGGATATTAAACCTTTTCATGGGCGTTCTGCTTTCTGCATATAATTGAAATTTTCCAAAAACAATTGCTTCATAATTCCACCCAGGATTAGTTTAATGGATTCTGCCCGCATATTTTCACAAAGGATTCGAATAAAATTTCTGCCAGATGTTTACAAGTGTAATTGCAGTTTAAAGCAAAGCAGTTTTTTTCAAATTGTGTTTAAAATTGATTAGCTATGGTTGGGAGATTTTGTTGAATCAAATTCATTGCAGACAGGTGACATTTAGGTGGGAATAACCTCAGATTTCAAACAAAACCACACTGCAGGAGTTTTTGGCATTTTTTTCTATTGTCCTTTCCAGTGTTGAAAGCAAACTGTACCAAATACAAGGTGTCAAATTTGATGGCTAATTTATAAATAGTTTTCCAACAATTTCAATTTTCAGGTAGAAAAAGAACACCTTTGAAAAGGCATCCTAACAGAATGACAATGCAAAATTTTGAAGAATGAGATGTGTGAAATCATCTAAGAAACACCACTTTCAAGACGCCCTTTTATGCTTTGTTTGCAGCCATTCATAGACTTTAATAGAGCCTGTCTGCCTGGATTACAGTCTTCGCACAGAGGGGGTGGGGGAAGCGAAACACAAATCGTCGGAACACAGTAGGTGTGACAATTCCAAATAAAAAGGACACCCAATTACACAATAAGGACATTAACGAGCCGGAATAATGCCTAGCCAAGCACATGTGTCGGAATATGGGTGACACACACACACATATATTTAACATGAATTGTCATTATGTCCTTTTTACAATTGGAATGTGTGAGTGTGTATGTGTGAGTATTCACCATTATCCAAGGAATCGATAGACCAAACAACGGGATATTGAAATCATTGTGCCCCATCCCAGCCACCCTTGCCAAAAGATATTAACCCGCATTTGTTAGGCATGTGTTACCATTCGCACCAATTGCAATGAAAGACGGCGATAATGGTTAACTGGAAGAGAGATGGAAAGAATGGGAATGGGGGCAATGTTGCCACATTGCGACATTTGGAATAACAAAAAAAAAAAAAAAATAAAATAAATTCTGGATAAGGATTATGAGTTATCCACGCTGTCTACATAAGCTCTAAATATTATCCACGTTGTCTGGGTAAGGCTAGTTAGTTATCCGAGATGTTTGGAAAAGATTTAAAAATTATCCACGTAACATTGAGGATAATGTCTATTGGTTATCCGCGATATCTGGATTAGGCCCATCCACGTCGTTTGGATAACGCTTATGAGTTATCCACATTATATGTTTAAGGTTTATTAGTTATCCACTTTTTCTGGATAACATTTATGAGTTATCCACATTGTCTGGATAAGTTTTATGAGTTATCCACATTGTCTGGATGAGGCTTGTTTGTTATCCTCCATATCGTGATAAGTTTTAAATACTATCCACGTTGGCCGGATAACCTTTTCGAGTTATCCACATCATTTCGATGACGTTTATGAGTTATCTGGGTACGGCTTATTGATTATCCGCGATATCTGGATAAGTTTAAAATATTATCCACGTTGTCTGGATAACGTTTATGAGTTATACACCTTGTCTGGATAAAGTTTTTGAGTTATCCACATGGTCTGGATAATGTTTTTGAGTTATCCACGTGGTCTGGATAACGTTTATGAGTTATCCACGTTATCTGGGTACGGCTTATTGATTATCCGCGATATCTGGATAAGTTTAAAATATTATCCACGTTGTCTGGATAACGTTTATGAGTTATACACCTTGTCTGGATAAAGTTTTTGAGTTATCCACGTGGTCTGGATAATGTTTTGAGTTATCCACGTGGTCTGGATAACGTTTATGAGTTATCCACGTTATCTGGGTAAGGCTTATTGATTATCCGCGATATCTGGATAAGTTTAAAATATTATCCACGTTGTCTGGATAACGTTTATGAGTTATATACCTTGTCTGGATGAAGTTTTTGAGTTATCCACGTGGTCTGGATAAAGTTTTTGAGTTATCCACGTTGTCTGGATAAAGTTTTTGAGTTATCCACTATATCTAGATAAGCTTTAAGCATTATCCACGTTTTCTGGATAACGTTTATGAGTTATCCACGATGTCTGGGTAAACTTATTTGTTATCCACGATATCTGGATAAGCTTCAAACATTGTTCACCTTGTCTAGATAACGTTTATGAGTTATCCACGTTATCTGGGTACGGCTTATTGATTATCCACGTTGTCTGGATAAAGTTTTTGAGTTATCCACTATATCTAGATAAGATTTAAAAATTATCCACGTTGTCTGGATAAACTTATTTGTTATCCGCGATATCTGGATAAGCTTCAAACATTGTTCACGTTGTCTGGATAACGTTTATGAGTTATCCACGTTACCTGGGTACGGCTTATTGGTTATCCGCGATATCTGCATAAGTTTTAGACATTATCCACGTTGTCTGGATAAAGTTTTCGAGTTATCCACGTTGTCTGGATAATGTTTCTGAGTTATCCACTATATCTAGATAACCTTTAAACTTTATCCACGTTTTTTGGATAGCATTTATGAGTTATCCACGTTATCTGGGTAAGGCTTATTAATTATCCGCGATATCTGGATAACGTTTATGTGTTATCTACGTTGTCTGAATAACTTTTATGAGTTATCCTCGTTGTTTGGATAAAGTTTTTGAGTTATCCACTATATCTAGATAAGGTTTAAATATTATTCACCTTGTCTGGGTAACCTTCTTGAGTCATCTACATCGTTTGGATAACTTCTTCTATTGTCTGGATAACGTTTATGAGTTATCCACGTTGTCTGGATAAGGCTTATTGGTTATCCACGTTGTTCGGATAACGTTTATGAGTTAGCTTTGCTGTGTGGATATGGTTTATTGATTATCCGTGATATCTGGATAAGCTTTAAAGCTGTCTGAATAGCTTTTATGAGTTATCCTCGTTGTTTGGATAAAGTTTTTGAGTTATCCACTATATCTAGATAAGATTTAAACATTATCCACGTTGTCCGGATAACGTT